AAGCGTAGGAATAGCTTTTAGCTTCAGAAATTTCACAGGCCAAAGAACAAGAGTTAAGGAGATTGCAACAAGTACCCTTCGACCCTCAGATCCACCCTCTTTTTCAAACAGAAAATCCACTGGTTTCTGGAATGACCACATAGTTCTATCTGAAAGAGGAAAACACAACGCAGGATATCTTTAGCTGACTGGAGAGTGTTCATCAGAATAAACACAAAGCTCATTAAAATACTCAGAAGAAAGTATTTACCTAAGTTTTAATCTTTTTTAATTAAAAAATTTACTATACAAATACATAATGTAAAAATATTTTCACAAAACGTGTTTCACTCTCCATCTACTGCTTTTGAAAAATGTGAATTTCATTTTTACATCTTATCAGGCTTTGACTTCCCCCACCTTCTCTTCCAGTCAATCCCAGTTATCTGACTGAATACCTTTAGGGAGAGACAAACTCTGTGGTAGAAAGATTTAAAAGGTTGTGTTCCTATTTGGTGATTTCTAGCATATTTCTGTTTCCATAAATTAAAAATAAAAGCATCTACGTCTCAGAGTTAAAAGATCGAGATGATACATACAAAATATTTGGAACCTTACGTTGTAGATATTATAAACTTAAATTATTTTAATATGTAATATTTAAATTTCATATCCTTTTTTGCCATCCTGCCACATCCACATCCATCATCTATTGCTGCAGAGAATTCTTTCCTCTCCTGTGGGTATACATTTCCAATCTCACACTTGGTGCTTTGCAGGGCAAATTTCCCATTCTTTTGTAGACTTTCCAATTTGTCAGGACACCACTAAGATGTAACCTCAATCTTTTCACATTCCCTGTCTCTGTGCTTTTTAACTTCCATGTACCACTGATGGATGATGTTTATCGCACAATAACCAGGAAACCCAAGAAATCAGAACCTCAAATGACTTCCGCATGAATTCTTTATCTTCTCGGTATCCTTTCCTTGCTTCATACAAGATCAAGAAAATTAACTGCAGTGAGGTCACTTACCTCTCCTTCTTTTAGCCCCTTACAGATGGTTTCACGCAGCCTGCCCTGACTCTCAACTGAAGGTAGGAGTTAGGTCTAGACTGGTGGCAGCTGTGAGCCTTCCCTTAATTCTTAACCCAGAAAGGTATCAGTAGTTCAGCTATAAAGAGCCTCACAGCTTGACGTTGCTATACATTGTAGAGCACTATTTTCAAGCTACAACTGCAGAATGAAACTGGATTTTTAACTTAAATGTACCCTGGGCAAAAAAACTTGCCATATGCAAAGTGTTTTAAGGGTAGCGGCCCTGTTCTGGTGTGGTGGGATAATCCTCAGTGTTTCAAACCACTGGAGGCTCCTCCGATGACCCCAGATAGTCCTCCTCTTACTTAGCCCAGATATCCAAGACATAGTTTCTTAAAGCAACTGCTAATTATACCTTACCAGCCAACCATTTTCCTAAAACAGCAGTATGGTTGGCAGTCCCAGGCATACTGGGACTGTGAACTGCGCACAGTCATCACTAGAGGCCATGCAAAGCTTATGCTCATCTGTAAACCAAATAGCACCCCCCACCCCATGTTACCACATGTCCTTACAGTTTAAGACTTAACAGTTGCAAGCCACACAAAAGGCTATAGCCACTGACCAAGCCAGCTGTTTTGTTTCTTGCCTGTACTAATTTTCTTCTTAATCTTGGAAGCATATTGTAACCACCCAGAGAGCTCTGGAAAAATGATACCTGGGTTCCAATCCAAGATGTTAATGTAATTAGTGTGTGTCAGGAGGGGTGGCTTAGATCTTCAGATTTTTATTTTTATATTTTTTAGTTTTTATTTATCTTGAGAGAGAGAGAGAAAGTGAGAGTAAGAGAGAGAGCAAGTGCAGGAGGGCCAGAGAGACAGCGGGAAAGAGTGAATCCCAAGCAGCCCCTGTACCACCTGTGTAGAGCCCAATGCAGGGCTCAGACTTAAAAACTGTGAGATCATGACCTGAGCCGAAGTTGAGTCAGGCACTTAACTGACTGAACCACCCAGGTGCCCGAGGTACTCAGATATTTAAAAACTCCTCAGGTGACTTTACTGTAACCAAATTTGCAAACCTGATACTGCACATGAAAAATAATTTCTACTTTTTTAAATGTTTGTTTTTGTGTGTGAGAGAGAGAGAGAATGATGATGGGGTGGGGGGAGAAGCAGAGAAAGGGGGACATAGGACCAAAGTGGCTCCAACTCATTAACTGTGAGACAATGACATAGGTTGAAGTTGGACACTTAACCAACTAGGTGCCCCCAAAACTAATTTTTTTTTAGTTTATTTACTAGTTGGAAAGGGGCAGGGAGAGGGAGAGAGAGAGAGGAGCCAAGCAGGATCTGCACTGTCAGCATGGAGCCTGGCATGGCGCTTGAATTCACGAACCGTAAGATTATGACCTGAGCCGAAGTCAGACACTTAACCGGCTGAGCCAATTGAACCATCACTGTCCCTACTTCCCCTAACTTATGCACAAGGTACGATGTCCTAACTTCCTGTACATCAGAATGTGACCTTGTTTATAAATAGGGTCATCAAGTGAAAATAGGGCCATATTGTAAGATGGGCCCCCAATCCAATATAAATAGTACCTTCATATAAAAATAAAAATTTAAAAAAAGTGACATGGAACAGTCTTCAGGAGAATCAACCCTTCCAAGCACCTTGATTTTGGATTTCCAGCTTCCAGAATCACAGGAACTACATTCCTGTTGTTTAAGCCACCCAGTCTGGGGTACTAGCAAACTAAACCGCTTCACATGAATAATCTATACTCATTTCTTAGTTTTGACACAGATGCGCCTCCTCACTCCAGCCCCTGGACATTCTGCCATCACCCACCCAGCCTCATAACCTACCATCCCCCTTACTGCTTTTTTCCTCTTTTTCAGTTCATATTTGAGAATTTACATGCTAAGACTGTTTAACACCAGAATACTCAAAGGATGAACAGAAATAGTTCATACTCAAGGAGTTTACAGTCTCATGGGGAACGCAAAGAATTGCCCAAGTAATAAATATGGCGACTCTGCTTCGCCTAACAAGACCCTGGTACAAGGATGCCCCAGGACTCACTCTCATTAAGGATGCCAAGAAAGGTTCCTTTGAGGAGTGACTCTTCAGCTAAGATCCGAAGTATGAGTCAGAATTAGCAAAAAATGGGGAGGGAGATGTGCAAAGTCTGTAAATGCAAAATCTTTGTGGCTGAAGGAGGCAGGGGACATCGTTGTTCAGAGGGTGGGTACGCTCTGTCACAGTTACATTTTCAAAGGCTTAAAAGCATGACTCTCATACAAATATAGATGGAAAAGTGTCAAGAATTCTGTTCAACTCAGTAATTTGTAAGGGAATCGCAAAAAGTTGATTCCAAGAGGAATGAGAAGCAATTTATACAAATCATCAAAATTACAAAAAGAATTAATAAAAAAAGATTGTTTAGGTTAGGTTAGATACAAAACTGGTTAGTATCCTACAGGGCAATAAAACCAAGAGATCTCTTCCCTACCACACAATTCTGCACATACCATACAACTTTTAAGGGCACCTAGATGGCTCAGCTGGAAAAACAAGTGACTCTTGATTTTGAAGTTGAGTTTGAGCCTCACGTTGGGTGTAGACATTACTAAGATAAAGAAATAAACTAAAACAAACAGACAAACAACACACATAAGCTTCCATGTCTCATCTAATGGTAAATACCAAAGCCAAATACAGATACATTTTCCTAGAGAATTTAAATTTGTGTGCTTGTTAGATAATGTCCCAGCGTACCACTGAAAGGACATACTGCATTGCCTTGGTTTCTCAATTTTGGAAATAGTTCTTAATAGTTAAGGTGCAGCCTCAGGAGAAATTTGATGCAAGATGAAGGTAGAGATCATATACACATTAAATTCTCATATTTCCCCACATAAGAAATCATTACCTTTTCCCTCAGTGAACTGGAAAGAGGTTTGAAAGCCACTGCTCTAAGTTTGTTTTTTGGGGTTTTTTTTGTTTTTTTTTTTGAGAGTGTATGAGCAGGGGAGGGGTAGAGAGTCAGAGAGAGAATCCCAACTGAGCGACCCAGGCGCCCCATCCATCCAAGTTCTTAATCTGAGTGTTTCAGATACTTGTCTCACTTTCAACTCAGTCACCTAACCTAATCCTCCACTGCTCAGATCAGGACTATTTCCACCAAAACTTCTTTAAAAAATAAATTTAATGTTTATTTATTTTTGAGAGAGAGACAGAGTGCAAGTGGGGTCAGGGTGGGGAGGCAGAGAGAGAGGAGACATAGAATCCGAAGCATGCTCTAGGCTCCAAGATGTTAGTACAGAGCCCAATGTGGGGCTAGAACACACAAATCGTGAGATCATGACCTGAGCTGAAGTCAGATGCTTAACCCACTGAGTCACCCACGTGCTGTCCCTGAAGACTTCTTAAGATTTGCTGTGAAGATGTGCAAAGGCTTTTTTAAAATTATTACTTGTATGTTTTGAAGCACTGAATTATCACACTTCTTATAAGAAATCTAATTATCCTTGTAAGAAAGTAGAGAATACTTGAAAAAATAATTTAAAATTTTCACATTTTCTGCAATACTTCTTCCCCACCCAGATAAAATTCCCCAGGAAATCAAGTTCCCTGTTGAGAATGTTAGGAAGCCTGACACCATCAGTAATAGGATCAGTCAAAGAATGTCTTCATTTCACAGGTCACTGTAATGATATCCTCAAATCTAAAGTCTTGATTATATCTAATTGTGCTTTCAGAAGTCACTAGAATCTTTAACTTAGTCCTAAAGAGTCCTGGCTGTATTACTTCTCTGAGTTTCCAATTTTATGCTGCATATGCATTTATTGTTCTAATTAGTGTAGGGTTCTTCTATTATTATCATTCACGACTCAATTTCAGTGTAACCTCTTCAACTAAATAGGTGTTGGAAACCACATGAATGCAAAAACTCTGAGCTAATGAACTAGATTCCAACTCAAGTGTTAGAAATCTTTTATTGGATTACTTTAAATAGATCCGTTTATAAACTCAAACTCTTTACTTCTGGTCCCTCTTAGATATCACGCCGAGGAAGACTGTGGGCTAACAGTAACATCACAAGAAGAAACAGGAGGAAGGCAAAGGCTAAGTGAGTCTGAATTTGTGACTCCACTTGGGATACAAAGAGAAAATATGGGCCTGAGAGCTCCTCGGAAGGTGAGAGAAGAGAAATTATAAATGAGGGATCTGTTTGTCACATCATAGAAGGATATCTGCCCATACTCACGGTCTAGAAAGACTCCAACTTTGTGCATCTGCTCTCCTCTCAAGGAGACCCTCTTGAGAGGGGGAAAAGCCCAGAAGGTATAACTGGTTCCCATCAAAGAACCCATGAGCAAGACTTTATTTCCCGAATTGGTGGCTAGAGCACCGTGTCTGCTGGCAGAGACTTCGGACACCCCCAACTGCCACTTGGTTGCCTTTTCCACCTCCACCTCCCAGTAGTGCCTCCCTGAGGCGAAGCTCTCCACACCCAATACGGTGGCACCGAAGACAAATCGCCCTGGGGTGCCAGGCACGTCCCGCTGGGCATTTCTGAGATGTACGCTTCTCAGTTCCTCAGATAAGACCAGACAAGGATGAGCTGTTTTAGGATCCAAAGTGACAGCTCCTGTGGGAAGAGAGAAACTCACTTAAATTCAATTAGTCGTCTATGCCCACACCACAGACTGAGTATTTCTAACATGCACAGGCTTGCCAGTGAGTGGGCATGAGTCACAGGCACAGATATGGAAGAGGCAATCTAAGAGTTCAGGACAGGTAACCTCTAAGCTTTGTTTCAAGAAAGGGACACAAGAGAAGAAGAAAGTGAGATAACGGAAGAAGATGTGATCTGAGGAGGAAGAACAAAGCATAATGCAGCATGCAAAGGTTTAGAAGTACCTGTCAAACCAGAAAGGGATTTAAGCAGGCTGTAAAAATTGTATCCAATTCTACTTAGGTATCACTGGGACCCATCTCCACTCCCCTGAAGATCTCCAAGCCTGGAACTCCAAGATCTATTCCCTACAGGATCATCAGAATCTCCTACCAGAGCGGGCTTATCCCTGTGACTGGCTGTGATGCCCTGTGATTTCCCCCCGATTCCTGCCCTTTCCCTGTGACTGAATTGCTCTCATCTTAAATATCACCGAGTGTGACACAGATGCCTAGAAATTGTTACCAGCAGGCCCTTAATACTGAGTAAATCAGAAGAACATATTAGCAGAGGCTAGAAAACCTGTAGGAATCCTCCAGAAAAAAAAAAAAAAAATCAAGCTGAGAACAAGAAAGCTCAATGTGATTTCTTACACTTGGATGAAAGTAACACTTGCCTTCATATCTCAAACTGTTCCTTCTCTTAATCTCTTTCTCCTTAACTGTTTCTCAGGGCTAAATGGTGGGTCTTCCTTTTTACCACGTGCACTCTCTCCCCAGGTGACTTCACCTGGCCTCAGTTTTAAGGATCTTCTATACGTTCATGGCTTACTTCATGGAGAAGTTGCCAAATACCAGTTAGAAATAAAACAGGCATGTGACACACACTCTGTCCAAAATGGAACTTCAGAACTACCCCTTTCCAGTTTCTACTTCAGTTAACAGCATACTTAACTTCTTTAGTTGCTAAAGCATAAACCTGGAGTAGTTCTTTATTTCTTAAACTTCTAATCCAGCAGAAAGTTTTGATGCCAAATGAACTTAAATTTCTAGACTTTAGGTCTCATTCGTATCATTATTAGGGTGGTCTTAAAAGCCATAAGCTGTTAAATTTAAATTCAAGTTGTCTCAGGCTTTTATTATTTTTAGAAGATCGGCAGAAACAAATGCGGACTCTCTCTAGAATAATGCATATATTCATTTTTGAACTCAAAGAATTTCTAAATATAATATCCAAGGGAAAAAAGCAAAGCTTTCTGTTAAAAAAAATTAAACACACACTCAAAAGTAAGAAAGCACTATAGAGATTATACCTTAAGAACTCTAGATACTGGAACTACCAGGCACTGAACTATAATTTTTGTTTACATGTTTGAAGCTTAAAAATATCTATATATCTTAAAAATATTCTATATCTATATAGAAAAGCAAAACAGCAAGACCAAATAGATTTGACAAAGAACAAAATAGATGATCTAGAAACGAAAATAAAATAAAGTGTCTATGGATGATTTTAAGAAAGCTACTGATCAATATGCCTCATTAACATAAATACAAAAATTCTTTAAAGTATTAGCACATTGAATCCAGCAATATAGAAAATGGATAAAACATCATTACCAGGTTTATTCTTGGAATGCAAGTCTGGGCCAACATATGAAACAATATATTTACCATATTAATACATGAAGATGAAATATCAATATTTTGGTAGATACAGAAAAAGAATCTAATAAATTCAACATCTGTTCATGATATAAAGTTTTAGCAAACCAGGAACTTCCTCAACTTGATAAAAGGCAACTATAAAAAACCTACACCTAACATGAAAAGTTCAAGGTGAAAGACTTAATGCTTTCTTTCACCCTAAGATCAAGAACAAGGCAAATGTTTCTCACTGCTCCTCATGTGATATTATATTTGAGGTCACAGCACCAGTACAACAGGTGAGAAGAATACAGAAAAGGATTACATATTGGAAAGAAATAAAACTGTGTGTATTAATAGAGCACCTGACTATCTTTGCAGAAAGTCCCAAAGAATCTATAAAAAAGCCACCAGCTCTAAAGGAGTTTAGCATAGTCATAAGATGAAATGACAATGTACACAAGTACTATTTTTATATACAAGCAATAAACTAGAAATGAAAGAAAATTTCAATTAGAAATGGGTATTAGAACTAAAAAATATAAAAGAGACCCATCTAATATGCACAATATTTATTTGCTGAAAACTTCAAAACATTGATGAGTGAAACAGACCTAAAAAGAAATATGTTCCCTTATCCCCAAATTAATCTATACAGTCAATGTAACACCACTGAAAATCTTGGGTGCCTGGGTGGCTCAGTCGGTTAAGCGTCTGACTTCAGCTTAGGTCATGCTCTCATAGTTTCTGAGTTCAATCCTCGCGTTGGGCTCTGTGCTGACAGCTCAGATTCTATGTCTCCCTCTCTCTCTGCCCCTCCCTTGCTCTGCTCTCTTTTTGTTTCTCAAAAACAAATAAACATTTTTAAAAAATCGCAGTTTTTTTTGTAGAAACCAACAAGCTGATTTTAAAATTTATGTGAAATGGCAAAGGCTCTAGAGTAGGCAAAATAATAAATTTGGAAAACTCACATGCCACTTTTAAGACTTCCCATAGAGTAAACATTCAAGCCAGTGTGGTATTAGCAAAAGGATAAACACAGTGATCAGTGGACCTATTAGAATCAATATAGACCTGATTATACACGCCAGCTGATTTTCAACAAAGGCGCTAAGTAAATTCAGTGAATAATGTCTTCACCAAATAATGCTGGAGCAACATGATACACACATATACAGGAAAGGGGGGGTGGGGAGTTGTACGAGACCTTGAGTTACAGACACATGACTCCAAATGAATAACAGACCTAAATGTAATATTCCTTAGCACACAAAAAGCACAAACCATAAAAGAAAAAAAACTGATAAACTGGATTTCAAAATTATTAACAATAATCTAGATATATAAGCCACCCAAGTGTTCACCAATAGATGAATGGATAAAGAAGTGGTAGATATACACAATGGAATATTAGTCAGCCATACAAAGGGATGAAACCTTGCCATTTGCAACAACATGGATGTGAATAAAGAGTATAATGCTAAGTAAAATAAGTGAGTCAGAGAAATACAAATACCATATGATTTCATTCATGTGGAATTTAAGAAACAAAACAAATGAACAACAAAAAAACAGACAAACTGAAAAAGAGACTCTTAACGATAGAGAACTGATGGTTATCAGAGGGGAGGCAAGTTGGGGGAGAGGTGTGATAGGCCATGGGGAATAAGAACACAATATCATGATGAGTAGAGGAATGTATGGACTTGCTGGATCACTACCGTGTACATCTGAAACTAATATAACACTGTGTGTTAACAATTTTAGAATTAAAATAAAAAATTTAATAAAAAAAAGAAAATATAAATCATAGAGTGGGAGAAATATTTGCAAAAACATGTCTGATAAAGGACTGGTAATCAGAAAATATAAAGAAATCACAAAAGTCAATAACATACAACACAATTTAAAAGAGGCAAATGTTTATAGATATGCTTCAAGTAGATACAGTAAAGTACAAATAAACATGAAAATACGCTCAACATCACTAGTCATTTTACAAACGCAAATTAAAATTTAAAGTGATATATAATTACCTACCTAATAGGTTAGCTTTAATTAAGGAAAAAAAAGTGACACTACCAAATGCTTATGAGGAATCTCATACGTTAACAGTGGGAATGCAAAATGGCACAGCCAGTTTGGAAAACAAATTTTACAACCCCTCTCCTAGATATGCAACCAAGAGAAATGTAGTCATGTCCACCTAAAACTCTCGAAGCAAATATTTACAGCATACATTTGGAAACAACTCCAGTGGCCCTGGAATTGCAAAAGAATAAACTGTGGTCTGTTCATACAGTGGAGTACAATACAACAAAAAAGAATAAACCACTGATACACACAACAAACTTGGATGTGCCTCACATGCTTTATGTTAAGTGAAAAAAGCCAGACTCAAAAGGCTACCTACTGTATGAATCCACCCACAGGACCTTCCAGAAAAGGCAGAATTATGGGGCAGGAGATAGAAATCTTTCATTATACATGTTGACATTTTTTCCCCATAAGTTTTTTTTTTTTTTAATTGAAATCTGCTTGCAATCATGTTTCAGGGTTGAAAATTGGGAAAGGACGTGCAAAGGAGAGCCTTTCAAAACACGAGCATACAATTATTTTTTTGATAACTATCCAATGTGTGTAGCATTATTAAACTCTCCAGTCTCTTTAAATCCTTAAGCTCTCTGGAATCTACTTGTATTTATGGTAGGATGTTCACTTGATTTTTCCAATACAAAGTCAAGTGCCCTGCAATCATGGATGTGTCAACTTACTTTGCAGAACTCTGAGCATTCGGCTCATTCCTGTTACTTGGCATAAACTCAGGTCCGTGATTTGGGCACACTCCAGACACTGCAGCAGTAGGGACTCACTCCTATTAAAGAAAGGACAGCCTGTTATCTGTGCAGACCCCCCACCATTCAGAGGATGGATCTCATACATGACCTCCTGATCCTTACCCCAACACCCCTACTCATGTGTGCTCATGTATCAGACCCTGACTCCCACCCCAACGTTTCCAAAATGAAAACTTACCTTTTCAAAGAAGATCTTGCATTCTACGGGTTGAAAAAGAGATAAGGTTACTATCTGAGCCACGCCTCTTGTGAGTTGGGCCCCTGAAAATATCTTCTCATAATGAAACTTGGTTTCTACTTAACTTCTTCAGCTTCATGGTGCTAATTATCAGATATCAAATTTTAACAATGATTGGTAGAAGTCAGAAAAATATTTGAAATCACTGTTATATTCCCAAGTGAAATATTTGAGTATTTTGTTTAATATTCTTAGCATTATTACAGGCAGGGACTATATAGTCATTTTACATGGAATTTAGAACCTGCTGAATCAGATGATGTCATGACAAGATTTATATTTAATCTGGATGTTTTTCTTTCCTTTTTAAACTCTTTTTAAGGTTTATTTATTTTGAGGGGGGGAGGGAGGAAGAGAGGGAGGAGAGGGAGAGGCAGAGAGAGAGGCTGTGAGAGAGGATTCCAAGCGGGCTCTGCACTGTCAGCGCAGAATCTGATGTGGGGCTTGAATTCACAAACTGTGAGATCATACAGTAGTTGTCTTGACTTATCTTGCTTAAGCACAATATGTTCACAGTCTATTCATGTTGTCACAGAAGGGAGGATATTTTCCTTTCTCATGGCTCAGTAATATTCCATTGCGTATATGTACACCTTTTTCATTCATTGATCTGTCAAAAGACATTCGGGTTGTTTCCAAACATGAGTATGTGCGTCCCTTTGAAATTCTGTTTGCATTTCCTTTGGGTATATGCACAGAAAAGGAACTGCTGGATTATATAATAAATCTATTTCAAATTTTTCGAGATACTTCCATATTGTTTTCTACAGTGGTTGGACCAATTTACATTCCCACTAACAATGTTTAAGTACTCACTCCCTTTTCACTACATCCTCACCTGGGTCGGCTTTAGCTCAAGCGGTTACTTCACATGTGGTTGCTTCACTACATCCTCACCAGCACCCATTGTCCTTTATTGATGATAGTCATTCTAACAGTTGAGAGGGTCTATCTCATTGTAGATTTTATTTAATGTTTATTTTTGAGAGGGGGGGAAGGAAGAGGGAGAGGGGGGAGAGGGAGAGAGAGAGATAGAGACAGAGAGAGACAGAGAGAGAATCCCAAACAGGCTGTGCACTGACAGCATGGCTTGATCTCATGAACCATGAGATCATGGACCTGAGCTGAAATCAAAAGTTGGATGCTTAAATGACTGAGCCACCCCGGTGCTACTCACTGTGGCTTTGATTTGCTTTTCTCAAGGGACATATTTTCCATTCCTCACCTCAGCCATCTTCTCCAGAACAGTCATCATTTTAAACTCTGCCCATCTACTTGCTTTCTATACTGTGAGCAGCAAGATTTGAGGAGGTGCAAGGGCTTGCTAAACTGGGGACGGTGCGGGAAGCTGGGTCAGAAGCTGAGCATAACTGAGTCACACGTACCTTGACTGTCTGGAACTGGGCTCTAGAATAAAACCCAACATTTGTCTATAAGTGTTTCTTAAATAAGAGCACTCACATTGTAAATATGAGCCCGGCAGCAGAAGGATATGGCTAAAGTCTTAAAAAGACAATAATTTACTGGTTGAAAGGTAATGCATGTTACAAGGTTTAAAATGTGCAATACTATACAAATAAATCTCACCCTTGTTTTTCCAAGGTTACCACTCAATGTTTGTGTTATAATCTGTGTTTATTTTGCCAAAGGCAGTCTGTGAATGTTAATGAGTATATGTCTATACATTTATACATATATACATATCTACTAAAACCAAACAAAAAGCAGTTCTGCATGCTTCCACTCGAACTAAATACTCTGAAAATAACTTTTATCACTAAAGAGTTGCTTCATTCTCTTTTTCTGAGTGCAGAATATTCTATTGTATTGCTGTATCATAATTTGACTAACCAATTATTCACCCCATCAAGGGACATCTCAGTTCGAACTAATTACTGATAGTCTCAAGGTGAGACTTCATATCATGAAGTAGCTCCCCCCTGCACCAGGGTTTTAGACAATTCTTAATGCTTTTGATGACTGGAAAATAGCCATACAGACTTCTTGTATGTTTGCAAATCATCAAATATTCGAATATTCTAGAACTGACCTTTCATGAGCACAGTCCACTTCTCATTTCTCAAATTCTGTAATGAAGACCATTTCTGGAATCTTACCTGGAGCACCATTAGGGTGTATTTCCCACACTTGTTTTCTAGCTCTGCAGTCATCTTTTGGAGGCTGCAGATCTGTTCCAAAAGCCGGATTTCGCTCTCCTTCAGCTTATTCATGTTCTCTTTCCCCAAATCGTTCAGCCTCTGCAGAAGCATCTCCTTATTACTATTTAACAAGTGGTAATTTCGTTTATTCACTAGTTCAACTACCTCTTAAACCCACTTTTCTTCCTGTCATTTAAGGCCTGACAACCTGTGTCAAGGAAGACACCTCGATAGAAGCTTGATTCTTCGACACCACATATTTATGTTGATGGGGAAGGTATGCATATAGTCCACTTATACAGAACCAACCTGACTCTAAAACAGATCACGTTATTTTGCTATACAGTGTTGTCCAGAAAGTTTCCTACTACCTTCATTAAATTAAGATTTGAATTTAAAAATATAATCAATTAATAAGAAAGAATTAATCAAGCCACTGACATTTTTTATCCTTGCAAAGATGCTCCATCTAGGGACAAGAGCACATTCCCATGTTATTTTTTTCTTAAAGAACACAAATGATGCATATTATACCCTACTTTTTTTTTTTAAACTTTGTTTATTTTATTTTTGAGAGAGACAGAGCATGAGCAGGAGAGAGGCAAAAAGAGAGGGAGACACAGAATCCAAGGCAGGCTCCAGGTTCTGAGCTGTCAGCACAGAGCCAACCCACAAACTGTGAGATCCTGACCTGAGCAGAAGTTGGACGCTTAACTCACTGAGCCACCTAGGCGCCCCACCTCTTTTTTTTTTAATAAGTAATAAGCTCTTGGAGAGCATTCTTTATCCATACACATACAGCTCTGTTATGTTTTCTAAATGCCGAAGAGCATTTCATTTTAACTACGTAATACAATGTATTTTGAGAATCCAGTGTAGGTTGTACTTAATCTCTTGCTATCATAAACATTACAGTGCTCATAATACCTAATAGTCTCCACTGCATAATATGTACAAACCCTATTTAAACAGCTTTATGTAGATGATCACATTCAATCCTCACAATAGTAGAAAAACTATGGGCATTTTCTCCACTTTATAGCTAAGGAAACTGATTCACAGGTTAAATAACATGTATAGGTTAGACTAGCCTCTTAGAGACTAGTAAATAGAAGACGCCAGATAGGAATCTCACCAGTCTGGTTTCAAACACGACCTCTAAACCATGGCTCTATAGTGGAATAACTTTACAGCATTCCTTTATCCTTCTTTCTATCTTTTTAGATGCATGTAAGTATAACTAAGATAAATGACCAGAAACAGAACTTCTGGGTGAATATATATATATATATATATATTTTTTTTTAATATAGGCCTGACTGTCACTGGATGCCTCATTCTAGAACTGGCCTAATGTTCAGCTCTCCTTTCCCTCATTTCCCAAATACCATGAGCGTGCAGTTTTCCACCTCTCACCTGTAGTGTTTCCTGGGACTGCCCCTTCAGTTCTGTGGCAAATGCCTTCAGCTGATTCAGACGCTCTTCTCTCAAGTTTGGGCTGGATACGCACTCTTGCAGGTACCGGGAGTTCATCTCCTCTTCAACCATCAACCGGAACCTTATTCTATATTCAGACTCAATCATCTCTTTAAAATCCTGCTCTTCTCCCTTCATCACAGATACAGATATGAGGGACTTCAAGTTAAACCAAGTTAAACAGCAGAGACAAATATTCATGGTCACTTTTCATCTCTAACTCCAATATGAAGACAAGGGAATACCAAGTACAGAGGAAGAAATAAAACGCATAAATACAAAGGATGAAGAAAGTTTTGGGTCAAGACCAACCAACATCAACATAATCTTAGGATGTGAAATGCAGATGAACAAATGTTAACTGACTTAGAAAAGTGAGGAATCTATAATCACAGTGACAAAGAGGAGAAGAGGAAAACCGGAAGGTGTTTTCAAACCAAATGGATTTCGCTGATTCTCTGGATAGGGAGGGTCAGGAGTGGGAAATGGTGGGGGGACGCCCAAGCTTCTAGATAAAGCAACTGGGAGAAAGGAGTTGCCAAAACAGAAAGGGAAACAAGGAAGGGACAGATTACGGAGGTGCAGGGTGTATCCGCAGCTCAGTTTGGGATGTACTGGTTTTGATTACACAATCAGTCATCCAAAAAGGTGCTGCATAGAAGGTGGACATGAAAGCCTATCACTTGGAAGTTGGAGCTAGAAATTGACACTGGGAGTAGCCAGCTTAATGATATTTCATCTCATGAGTCTCTGTAGTCAATATTTACCGAGAACCGAACCACGGCTCACCACCTCTACCGCCACCACCCAGTTCACCATCACCTGTCCTTGCTAACTGCAATAGTCCCCTATCAGGTGTCCCAACTCTGCTCTCACCCTCCTACAGTCTTGTCTTACCTTGGCAGCCAGTGTTTCTGGGAGACTGGAAGTTCGATCAAGCTACCCCTCTGTTCAAAACTGTCCAATTGGTTTCTCATTTACTTAAAACATAAATTTATTTATTTGTTTTGAGAGATTAAGAGAAAAAGCAGGGGAGGGGCAGAGAGAGAGTGAGAAAGAGAATCCCAAGCAGGCTCTGTACTTCAGAGCCTGAGGTGTGGCTCAAACCCACAAACCTTGACATCATGACCTGAGCCGAAATGAAAGTAGATGCTTAAAAGGCCCAGCCACCGAGGGGCTCCTCCCTATTTCATTTAAAGTCAGCTACCCTAGGGATGCCTGGGTGGCTCAGTTGGTAAGCATCTGACTTTGGCTCAGGTCACGATCTCCTGGGTAGGTTCGTGAGTTTGAGCCCTGCATTGGGCTCTGTGCTGACAGCTCAGAGCCTGAAGCCTGCTTCAGATTGTGTCTTCCTGCTCTCTGCCCCTCCCCTGCTCACACTCTGTCTCTCTCTCCCTCAAAATAAATAAACATTAAAAAAAGACAAAGTCAGCTGCCCTATAAATTCTGCCCCAGTATCTTCTAATCTCACCCACCACTAGTTTTCACTGCCTTTCCAGCCCCAACTAAGTGCCTACCAGATTCTTCCCAAAAGTACAGCTCAATTCCTCACCAGCTTGAGTCTTCTCAAATGCCACTTTCTGAACAAGGTCCTGATCACTTTATTTCAAAGTATATCTCATCATGTTTCCCTCTGCACTGCCCCCTCGCGCCCCCCCCCCCCCGGAAGTATAACATTACCATATAACATTCGTTTTACTTGTTTGGTTTACCTCCATTAGAATGTCAGTTGCACAAGAGCAAAATTTTTTTCCCTCTCCCACTACTGAATCTCCAACATGTAGCATAGTCCCTGGCAAACAGCGAGACCCCAATATTTTAATTTTGAATATACGGTGATTAAGGCTGAAAAAAAATGGGGATCAGTTGAAAAGTTCTTGTAGAGTCAGTCAATTCTCCTCTACCATCTTCAACTAGTCATTTATTTTCTTTAAAAACTGAAAGAGAGAAGACTCAGAATCTAGGATACTGGTACAGAATAGATAAAAAGGCTTAAAAGAGTTAGAAGGTTTGAAATCAGAATTGAAACATGGGCATAACAGACAGCAAGTCCTCATTTTGGACAGTAATTCTCAAACTGCCTTTTAAATGGGTTCAGGATTTATACGGCCACCCACACCACACGAGATGCTCCCTCTTCCATGGCACTGTTATAAGCGCTGCTATCAATCATTTTTATCTTCCAATAAGGGTTGCAAATGCCATTTCACAAATTTAAGAGTTAATTTGTATTCCTCTTACCATAAAAAAAGAGTTCAGGATCTTCATATATATTCAAAAGGTAGCTGCATTTTCTTTTCTGTGAAATCTCATTTCTTTGATCATTTTTCTATTGAATTTCTCATCTTTCGCTTATTGACTTTGAAAAGCTCTTTATTCGTAAAGAAATTAACACTTTTCCTACCTATAGATTTCAAATATTTTCCTGCATTGTCATTCATCTTTTGACTTTGTTTATGTTACTTGCTGTCCAACATTATAAGTTATAAGTAACTCCCTGCTAAGACTCGAGATAGGCACTGACCTGAATCATCACCATTCTTTCTCGCTCATCAGCCAATATGCTTTTAGCTACTTCAAGTTTCTCCTTCAATGTGTTCAATATCTCCTGGAATAAGTTCTGCAGAGAAATACATCACAGAATTCTAGGTAAAGTAATTGCTTTAGAACAGTTAGATTTTTCACCTTGGACAACTGAAAAAAGGCCAATACCTTGAAGTTTTCTTAGCCTTGAAGTTTAAGGTCTAAATATGGTGCCTGTCTGGTATGCTCCTATAAACAGTGCCTGAGGGGAGTGGTCTTGGGGGATCAGAATATCTGCCCCCCCAAATAACTTAGGAAAAGGAGGCAGCCAGCGTCAGAGTGTCCTGGGATGGGGCGGGGGGGGGCTCACCCTGTAAATGTCAGCAGCCTCTGGTACGCCACACACCAAGTGATTCTCGTGCTCCTGAGAGCGGACGCACTGGCCACACAGCAGGACTTGGTCATCCACACAGAACAGCCGTACTACTTCCACGTGTTTCTCACAGTAGACCTTTTCTGGGAATTTTCGCCGTAACTGGGAGCTGAGCCTCTTGGACATCCTGGGAGGTGTCCGTGGGTGACATTTGAGCCGAGGAGTACCTCCCTGCACACTGAACCAGAAGTGAGTGGCGGTGGCTTGGGGGGCGTCGCCCAGGCCAACCACAGGGTCCACCCACAGCCAAGCATCAACCCGTCTGCGAATTCGCGGCTTCTCGAACCCGAACCAGCAAGTCTTCCGTAGCCAGCAGCCACGTGCTCGGGGAGGCTACACAGACTCACACCCGGCTCCTGACTGGAAGGGCTCCCAAGATTTCCGAAAATTTAGCACTGGGCTGAAAGTCAGTTACAAGTGAGAACACAGGGCACCACTTACCTGTAAGGCATTTGGGGGCGGGGGGTGGGGGTGGGGAAGCAGCAGAAGACAAAAGGAAAAAGAAGAAGAGGTGCTTACTAGAAGGCCCTGCACAGTAGAGCATTGGAGGCACTTCCGGGACTAGAGTGTCGCAAAGCCTGGCTTTAGGCATTTAAGGACGCACTCCCTCTCCCAGGGCTTGCACAAGCCGGAAAGTGCCGCCAGCTTCCAGGGCCTCCTTAAAGGGGAGTGGCCCTTGGGTGCCGAATTTAAGGGGGCACCCACTTTCAGGCTCTTCTAAGTAGCATGCGGCGAAGTGTGAGGCACCTCAAGTTTTATGGGCAAAGCCGAAGACATCTGCCGTCTAAGAGCTGGCTAATAAAGATATCGGTTAAAAAAATACAAAGACACCCCCCAAATAAAAACTTTCCAAAAATGCTCTAGGGAAACTGCATTTCTTTTAAGGAAAGAGAACAGGGGATCTATAATCTCCTGCATCTCCATTTCCAGACAATTCTGATTGCCTTTGGGCAACAATTCTACCGAATCTCTAGGAATATTTTAATTATACTCTTAAAAGGGATTACCCACTGAATTTGGGTAGCTTCTCACCCACAAAGAATTGCCTTGCCTTACTTCTCTTTACTAACCCCATCTCCAGCCATTGTTATGGTGGTGACAGGGTAACATCAAGTATTAATTTCTTTAAAAAATCCTTTATCCTGTTTACATTTGTTCCATCTCATTAACCAGCTCTTTTGACAGTCTCTTGGAACAAATCGACCTGACAGACCTCAGAAGCCCCAGACTTCTATTTTTGGATTCACGAGCTTCTTCCCCGCCATCTTGCTCTAACACCCAAGCCCTGTCATCGACTAGACCTCTTGTCCTTTCATTCTTTCTTATTTTTAATTTTAAATTGCACAACATTCTTATAGTTCTGAAGTTGATTGTATATATAAGATAACTTTGTATTTTCTTAGGGTAAATATTAATGCGGCAGTTTTCAAAGTGTGGTTCCCAGATTTGATTTGCCTTTTTCACTGTGTTGACATTTGTGCTGATAGTAGGTGAAACTTCTGGCATCTTACCATTCATCAAGTAAGTAGCACCAACTATGCTCATTTTTTTGTGTTTTTCAATCTCTTGCATACTCCCAGTTATTTATTTTTATTTTTTTACATAAGAATAACATTACTTTCTTGATGAAGCAAAATAATAAGTCAGCTATTAAGTACAGGATTTAATTAATATTTTAGGTGACAAAATGGAAACTTTGCATAAAGCACTTATGCTGCATTTGGGAATACAGGGGCTGTCCCAACGAAAAATGCTTTCTGTAACTAAGTTACAAGCTATACTAGCCACCTTTTTTCACAGCACATTTTGTTGAAAGAACAAATGAGACAAATGTGGTTATTCAGATGTAGCAATTTGGAAGATATTTTCTCAAACACGAACAGCGTGACCCTGTCATTTCAAGAACACCAAGTGAGTGTATTAGCTGTCAATGATAAAATTCTGGCTTTGGAGGACTTGTATCCACTATTGTAAGCTTGACAGCTTCCCAAGACTTTGACAACTTCCTTTCTGATAAAAATTGGTGGTGATATTAACAAATATGACTTGGATATTGTATAGTGAAATATGTCAACATTTGAAAGTCTGAAAACTCAGTGAACCACTATTTTCCAAAAGACTAATGCCTGATGTTAAGATTATGCAAGGATAAAGTGAAGATGCAAAGTATTAGACAGACCAATGAATTTTAATACAATAGAAAACACTCACTAGTGATTTCAGGAAGAAAAGTCCTAATTATCTGAAAAAATCTATTAGAATGTGCTCTCTTTTTCCAATAATGTATTTGTATGAGGTCAGGTTTTCTTCATATATATCAACTAACATAGCACTGCAGTGGATGGAATGCTGGAGCAGATATATTAGCTGTCTGATAATTCAGAAATTAAAGGGATGTGCAAAACTAAAACCATCTCACTTTTCTCAATTAATTGTTTAGAAGATGTTCCTCATAAAAATGTGATGTTTACTTTTAATAATTAAATACATATTTTTTAAACTTAGTTTTAATTTCTACTTCAGTGACTCTAGGTAGTATGACACACAAAAAGCTTTCTGGGAACTTCACCAATAATTTGAGTGCAAAGGGTTCCTGAGACCAAAGTTCAGAACCATGGTCTCAGAGGGCATAGTCCTGAGAAATGGGATTCCTGATAAACACAGCTATAATTTTGGTACATTTTGCTGGAATCCCAACCACAAAAGTTGCAGTTTTGTGTTCCAAGCAACATATGAGGAAGGTGTCAAATTTTTTGCCTGCTTGATAGGTGAGAAATGGTATCTTTATATATTGTCAGCTTACATTTTATTTCCATATGCTACAGCGTTATTTTCATTTCCTTTTCTGTGAACCATTTGTTTAAGCCTTTACCCACTTAAATATTTTTTTTAATGTTTATTTTTGAGACAGAGACAGAGCATGAGTGGGGGAGGGGCAGAGAGAGAGGGAGACACAGAATTTGAAGCAGGCTCCAGGCCCTGAGCTGTCAGCACAGAGCCTGATGCAGGGCTCAGACTCATGAACCATGAGATAATGACGTGAGCTGAAGTTTAAGGCTTAACCGACTGAGCCACTCACGTGCCCTGGCCTTTACCCACGTTTTTAAACCAGGTTTTTGGGGGACTTTCCCCTTAATTTTAAGAGATATTTATACATTGAAAAGATTGTTCCCTTGTTGCTATACAAATTGCAAATATTTTCTCTCTACCTGCCATCCGACTTTGAATTTGTTCCAATTCCTCTTTTGCTGCCTGGATTCTTCAACCTTCTTGTGGTTTCCCTTGTTTTGCTTCCCTGAACATATCTTAGACCACTCAACTGAAAAGACTTATCAGTCACAAAATGAACAAGTTTACAATTCAGCAGCCACTCTTGGCTTTATCTTACTTGACTTCTCAGCAGCACTTACAGATGACCATGAACCTCCTCTCAGAATGTTTCCTTTGGCAATCAAGATCTTAGATCTGACATCCCTCTACTTTCCGGGTCTGCTTCTCAGCATCCTTTTTTGACCTTACATCCTCTTGAGATTCTAAGCTTTGGAGTGCTTCAAGGGTCAACTCTAGTCCCTTATTCTAGTTCCAGAAACTCCCTAGATAATCACATTTCCAAAAATTTAAATACCTCTCTCCAGTTTAATCTTCTACCTAGATAAAACACTTCCAGCTCATTGGCAATCAAATGTTGAATAAGCACCCCACATTAGCATATCTAAAACACTATCCAGGATTTCAAACAATACCTTCCTTTCCCCAGCTCACTTTAAAACTGATTCATTTTGGGGTGTTTGGGTGGCTCAGTCGGTTAAGCATCCGACTTCGGCTTAGGTCATGGTCTCACAGTTTGTGGGTTCAAGCCCCGCGTAGGGCTCTGTGCTGACAGTTAGCTCAGAGACTGGAGCCTGTTTCGGATTCTGTGTCTCCCTCTCTCTGACCCTCCCCTGTTCATGCTCTCTCTCTCTCTCTCTCTCTCTCTCAGAAATAAATGAAACATAAAAAAATTTTTTAAACTGATTCATTTAGAAGCATAATTTAAATTACTATCATCTCAACTACTTTATGTTCAGCCGTACCCCCACTCACCATCTCCAACTCCTTGGCTCAACCAGAATACTATTTTAGACCTAAATGAAGGTTTCTGACAACTTCCCTTTGCACTTAGGATAAAATCCAAATGGCTAACCAAGTTCTAGATGGTTTCCCTCCCTACATAAAATCTCACCTCTATCTTCCCCCAGCCATTGTCCATTAAAGGTATGATAAATTCATCTGTGCCCTTTCTGCTTCCTCACTCGGCAATGCTTTTCTCCCATATTTTTATACTTCTAGTTCCTTCATTCCTCCCTTTGGTTCTCAGCTCAAATGTCATTTTAGAGAAGCCCTTTTAGAACTCCCCAATTGGAAATACCTTCCCACCATTTATATAGCCTCTCGTTTTCTTTGTTGTCTAATTTTACGCATGAACAAATATATTTGTTGTTCACTTTTCATCCACAAGAAATTACAGTTCCTTAGAGGCCCTAATATCCCCACCCAACCTACTAGATGCTCAATAAATAATTTAAAGAAATGTTTAAAATCAAACCAGCACAAAGTTAAAGGTGTTAGACCACCTTTTCCAAAGGAGAATCACCGAGGACAAAGCCCACAAACACAAAAGGAGTTGGTTATTCAGGTTTATTTTAGTCCGGCCGGATGGCCCCTCCCAAGCACCCAAAGAGTCCTCGGAAGAGCGCGCCATCGAGCCATAGCTCAGGGTTTATATAGGGAGCGGGGGCGAAGCCGGTGTATAGAAGCGAGAATTTTGCGGTTAGAGGTGGGGGGGGGTGGCTTAACAGTTGCTTGAAGAACATGTTTGACCGTTCTAATCACACTGTCAATTAAAGATTTACATCTCAGGGGCTTGCTGCAGCCAGGAGGAGCTAGGTTGCTCAACCCCTGACCTTTCACCCGAATAGAGTTTGAGATCAAACAATGGTTGGTATGTCCTCATTTGCAAGCCCCTCACCTTTTGGCTCAAGGGAGTTTTACAAAGGGAAACCAGAGAAAGACAGAAAGAATAGAGATTAAATATTTTTACAAGAAAAAGAGAAAGGAAAGTTGGAGAATATTTTGTCTTCCTAGAATGCTGACTATGTGCTAAACTGTTACAACATTTATCTCATTTTTCCTAATTTCATCTTTTTCCCTTTGACCTCACTTTCTTATTTTTTTTAATATGGTTACATTTCGTATATACATTAAAACTTTCATAACATTAAGTCTAGATATTTAAAGAAAACCATAAAGAAGGAAATGGTTTTGAGAAAAAAATCTCCTTCCTTTGTAATCCCGAGTATTTCCCTTCAGGGAAAAAGCCAGAGTAGTGGTGATTGAGGGGCTTTTATCTATTCAGCTGCTCCCTGGTCCTCACCTCTCACCATCAGTAGGAAACATGTGAAGTTTTTAAATTCTATCCATATAATAAATCTAGGGTGGCGGTTATCAAACTTCAGTGAGCATTGGAATCATAGGAGTTTATTAAACCAGATTT